TTCTTCATTTCTGATGAAGGGTCTAGGCCCGAAACATCAGCCTTCCTGCTCCTGTGGTGCTGCTTGGCCTGCTGTGTTCATCCAGCTCTGCACCTTGTTGTCTCAGATTCTCCAGCATCTGCAGTTCCTACTATCTCTGATACTCTTCTAAGGAGCTGAGGACACTCATCCTTGGTTGTTGCTGCTACATCAGCTATCTGTTATTGTGTTAATGCCAATTTGCTTTCAGATGATTGACAGATAACTGCCCCTACCAGGCATTCTCTGTTGACTCGGCTCCTTTTAAAGTTCTGAACTAGAGTCAAAATGCTAATTTGAAAAATAATTTCCAGAGATGAAAGATTTGTCCACTGAGGAGAAATTGAACAGTTTAGGGCTATGCTTGCTGGAGTTAAAAAGAATGAGAGGAGATCCGATTGAAGTGTATAAGATGCTAAAGAGATTAACAAAATAGATGTAGAAGGGATGTTTCCCTTTTGGGATAATCTAGAATAAGAGGTCATAGTTTTAAGATTCGGGATAACAGATTTAAAACAGACATGGGGAGGAATTACTTGTCTCAAAGGGTCATGAATCTGTGGAATTCACTGTCCCAGTGTGTGATGGACATTAAATAATTTGAGGGAGGAGATAGATTTTTAATTAGTAATGGTTAATGGATGGTGGGGAGTTGGCAGAAAGGGGGAGTTGACGCCAAGATGAGATCAGCCATGATTGTATTAAAGTGACGGAGCAGTGTGGCATCAAGAGCCCTAGCAAAACTGGAATTGGTGGGTATCAGGGACAAACTCTCTGCTGGTTGGCGTCATATCTGGTATGTGTATGAAGATGGTTTAGGTTATTGGAGGTCAGTCATCTCAGCTCCAGGACATCTCTGCAGGAGTTCCTCAGGGTAGTGTCCTAGGCCCAACCATCTTCGGTTTCTTCATCAGTGACCTTCCCTCTATCATAATATTAGAAGTGGGGATGTTCACTGATGATTGCACAAAAGTTAGCTACTCCTCGGATACTGCAGCGGTCCATGTTCAAATGCAACATAATGCGGACAATATTCAGGCTTGGACTGACAAATGACAAGTAACATTTGTGCCATACAAATGCCATGCAATGACCATCTCCTCCAATAAGAGACACTCTCACTACTGTCCCTTGACATTCAATGGTGTTACCATCACTGAATCCCTCACTATCAACGTTCTTGGGTTATCATTGACTAGTAACTCAACTGGACTCACTACCTAAACATAGTGGCTACAAGAACAGGTCAGAAGCTAGGAATACTGCAGAGAGTAACTCACCACCTGACTCCCCACTTGCCTGGATGAGTGCAGCCCCAACAACACTCAAGAAGCTTGATGGCATCCAAGATAAAGCAGCCCGTTTGATTGGCACCAAGTCCACAAGCACTCCGTAGCAGCAGTGTATTCTGTTTACAAGATGCACTGCAGAAATTCACCAAAGATCCTCAGACAGCACCTTCCAAACCCACAACCATTTCCATCTACGTGGACAAGGACAGCAGATACATGGGAACGCCATCCCCTGCAAGTTCCCCTCCAAGCCACTCACTATCCTGACTTGGAAATATATTGCCATTCCTTTAATACTGAAAACAACAAATGCTGGCGATCACAGCAGGCCAGGCAGCATCCATGGAGACAGAGCAAGCTAATGTTTTGAGTCTAGTTGACTCTTCATCAGAGCTGATGTGAAGTGTGGAGGGGGGCAGCATTTATGCTATAGTTTGGGGACAGAGGGGTGGTGGCTTTGGAGTGTAGATTGCTGGGGGAGAAAAGATGTTGATAGTTCAGATGTCGCTCTCTCTCCATGGATGCTGCCTGACCCGCTGTGTTCTCCAGCATTTATAGATTCCAGCATCTGCGGTAATTTGTGTGCTATTCCTTCAGTGTTGCTGGGTCAAAATCTGGGAGTTCCCTCCCTATGGCATTGTGTGTCTACCTACAGCACATGGATTGCAACAGGTCAAGAAGGCAGCTCACCACCACCACCTCAAAGGCAACTGGGAATGGGCAAAAATGCTGACCAGCCAGTGTTGCCCACAACTCAAGTAAATGAAAATAAAAAGCAGGCTCGAGAGGTTAACTTGCTTGCTCCCGTTTCTGGTTCTTGTGGTATGCTTTACATGGACTTTCAGAAAGCATTTGAAAGGCTCCACTTAAGAGATTAACATGTAAAATTAATGTGCGTGAGATTGGGGCTAGTGTATTGATGTGGCTAGAGAACTAGTTGGCAGACAGGAAAAAAAAGAGTAGGAATCAATGGGCAGCCAATGTCCAGTGGGGTATAGCAGGATTCGGTGCTGAGACCCGCTATGAGAGAGCTAAATGTAATATCTCCAAGTTTGTAAATGAAACAAAACTTGATGGGAAGTTGAGCTGTGAGGAGGATGCAGAGATGCTTCAATGTGATGTGACGTGAAGGTGCTGGTGTTGGACAGGGTGGACAAAGTGAGAAGTCACACGACACCAGGTTATAGTCCAACAGGTTTATTTGAAATCGCAAGCTTTCAGAGCCTCATTCCTCCTTCAGGTGATGTCACCTGACAAAGGAGCAGTGCTCCGAAAGCTCGTAATTTCAAATAAATCTGTTGGATTATAACCTGGTGTCGTGTGACTTCTCACTCATTCAGAGTGTGATTTGGACACGGCTTGTCAGGTGAAGTATAATGTGGATAAATGTAAGGTAGCAAGAACAAGAAGGCAGATTCTTCTCTGAATGGCAATGCATTGGGAAGGGGGCTGGTGCAATGAGACCTGTGCATCCTTGTACACCAGTTGGTGACAGGTACAGCAGGTGGTGGGGATGGCAAATGGTATGTTTGCCTTCATAGTGAGAAGATTCAAGTACAGGAGCACAGGGATGACTTGCTACAATTGTACAGGGCCTTGGTGAGACCACACCTGGAATATTATGTTCAGTTTTGGTTTCTTACTGAAGGAGGAATGTTCTGGCAATGGAGGCAGTGCAGCAAAGACTTACCAGACTGATTCCTGGGATGGCAGAACTGACATATGAAGAGGGACTAGTTTGGTTAAGGACTGTATTAATTGGAGTTTAGCAGAATTAGGGAGATCTCTCAGAAATCTATAAAATGCTAACAGGACTAGAGAAGATCAACTCCAGAAGAATGTTGCCAATGACCAGGGAGTCATGGTCTAAAAATACGGGATAGACCGTTTGGGGCTGAGATGAGGAGAAATGACTTCGAGAGTGTTGAGCCTGTGGAATTCTCTACCACAAAGCTAAAACATTGAATATTTTCAAAAAGGCGATTAAATATAGTTCTTGGAGCCAAAGGGATCGAAGTGTAGGGGGAGAAAATGGGAACAGGGGATGATCATATTGAATGGCAGTGCAGGCTTGAAGGGCCGAATGGCCTACTCCTGTTCTGATTTTCTTCATTTCAGAGAGATTCCCACTTGCACCAGATTCCCAAGTTTGTACTTGTCACTCATTGCAGTTAAGCCTATGCTCACGTTACTTTTCATTGGGCTTAATGAAGGTGTTTGACCTGTGACTCTTCGGACATTTACCGATAAGATTTTGTTTTCTTTTCCTGAAATTTTAGGAGTAAACAACTGCCCAGAGAAAACCAAATGCCAGAAGTTTACTCAAGTTTTCCCAACCCCCCGGGACCTTTGCGAGAAGGTGTGGAGTGACTCGTATTCGTTCACAGAACATGATCGGGGGAGTGGCAAGTGTATTGCTATGTGGTTCGACACCTCAAGCTCCAAGCTGAACCCAAATGTAGAGGTTGCACGGTACTACGCCATTCAGAAAGGTCTGATCGCATCCTCTTCCACTGTTGAGCTGACTCTCCCACTGTTCCTGACTCTACTGCTGCTCTCTGTCTTGCCTTAGCTCTGCTGGCTGTAACCAGAAAAGGAGAGTGGACTGCTGGAATGCAGCTCTTGCATTTTAACTTCTGCGTTCGCCGGCTCTGCCATTTCTTGATTTTCGAAACAAAATTCATTTGCTTTTCTTGCCGAGCCAATCCCCTGGCTGTGAGTGGGAGTGGGAGTGGTGGTGGTGGTGTAGGGAGAGGAGAAGATGTTGGTCTTGTCACCACTGTCATTGCTTATGGATAAGCAGCAAAAACACAAGAGGATACATTTATATAGCACCTTTTGTATAGCAACCTCAAGACGTTCCAAAACACTTTACAGCTAATGAGGCTCTTGTAAACTGTAGTTCCCTGTTGCAATGTAGGGAAAGGTGGTGGCCAATTTGTAAACATGAAGTTCCTGCAGCTATTTTTCCAGTAACGTTATTAAACACCTCTGCAGCAAGATGGCTTTGAGCCTGAGCCTTTGGCTTCGAGGTAGGGACACTACCACTGCACCACAAGAGCCCACAGAGCTCCTGTAGATTCTTAACAATTAGGTGATAGTTTGTTGTCACAGTTATTAGCTTTTAATGCCAATTTTTAAATTAATTAAATTCCACCAGTTGGTGTGATGAAATTTGAACCTTTGTTGAACATCAGCCTGGACGTTGGGATTATTTGTCTAGTGACGTTACCACTGCATCACCATCTGCTATATGGAGCTCCTGCAAACAGAAATGGGATGACAATCAGATAATCTGGTTCCTGTGATCTGAACTGAAGGATAAATCTTGGTCTTGAGAAACTGTGGCTGTGGGACCATTGGGGTCGTCAGTTTAACATTTCATCCTAAAGACGATATCTGGATGTTAGTGGCAGACGTACTGTTGTTCCCTCACAGTCTCTGAGCTTCCATTGTGTTCGTGTTTGGAATGAAAATTTGGAGCCGTGTGCTGACCCTAAAAGACCCTATAGTGTATGCCGGTTGAAAGTGTTATTAAATCATCCACGGTGTAATGGAAGGTGTCCTCAACAGTGCGATCAGGCACTACTTACTCAGCAATAAACTACTCAGGACCACAGCTCTTGACCTCATTACAGACTTGGTTCAAGCATGGACAAAAGAGCTGAATTCTAGAAGTGAGGTGAAGTGACAGCCCTGATGTCAAGGCTGCATTGAACGGAATGTACGTAAGGTCATAAGACATTGGAGCAGAAGTGGGGGTGAAGTTCAGTAATGGTTGGACTCATACTTGGTACAAATGAAGTTGGTTGTTGGAGGTCAGTCATCTCAGTTCCATGAACAACAGTGTACCATCAACAAGAACCACAGAAACAACTTGCCAAAGATCCTTAGACATCACCTGCCAAACCCACAACCACTTCCATCTAGAAGGACAAGGGCAACAGATACATGGGAACACCATCCCCCTGCAAGTTCCCCTACGAGCCACGCACCATCCTGACTTGGAAATATATCGCAGTTCCTTCAGTATCACTGGATCAAAATCCTGGTACTTCCTTCCTACGAGCATTGTGTACGGCATGTGGACTGCAGTGGTTCAAGAAGATAGCTCAGAATCACTTTCTTGAGGGTAGTTAGGGATGGGTGATAAATGCTGGCCAGCCAGCAATGCCCATCTCCCGTGGTGATGAGGCACACTCTGCTCCTTTGGATCAGTGTAAAAGGTCTCCCTTTTCCAAATGGGAGGAAAGCTATTTCCTATGTTCTGGCCAGCATTGATTCTGAAAGTTAGCATCGATAAGAACAAGCTATCCAGACACCTACTGTGTTGCTATATGTGGTAGTTTGCTGAGTTTGTTGTATCTTCTATATCGTAGCTGTGATGTTAAAAAGTAATTCGTTGGCTGTAAAGTGCTTTGTAAAGTCCATATAAAATGCACACCTTTCTTATTAAATCAGTTTATCTCTGTAATCTCCTCCAGCCCTACAACTCTCCAAGGCCTCTGCACTCCTCCAGTTCTAGTCTGTTATGCATTTTTGATTTTGATTAGTCCCTATTAGTGACTATGCCTTCAGCTGCCTGGGCCGTACGTTCCAGGAGCCCCTCCTTAAACCCCTCAGCCCCTTGACAGATCTCCCTTCCTTTAAGATGCTCTGTAAAGCCTATCTCTTTGACCAGTTGTTTGCACTCATAATTCCTGACGTGCGCTGGGGTCAAATGTTTGACACTCCTGCTGAGCATCAACAAACGGTTTAACGCGTTAAAGGTACTATAGAAATGCACATCAATAAACTGATGCACTTAACGTGGATATCTTCTGATTATCAGACAACTTTTAATAAATGTGTAAATTTAAAGTGTAATTTCTAGTTCAATCAGCAATAACAGCCACATTTAATAATTCAAGTGCTGCCCTTAATTTTCTATACTAAACTTTATTTAAAATTCAAGGATTTTCTATAACACATTTCCTATTAGCTGAATGTCTGCAACTTTTTAATGAGTTTAGCTATAATTTGATAAAGGACTGCAGTCTTTGTAATTTCCCTCTGCATCTGCACAGTGAGTTATTTGTATACTTAACTTCATCTGATGAAGGAGCAGTGCTCCAAAAACTTGTGATTTCAAATAAACCTATTGGACTATAACCTGGTGTCATGTGACTTTTGACTTTGTGCAGACCAGTCCAACACCGGCACCTCCACATCATTATTTACATGTGATCAGATTGTGTATTATTAGAGCACTTTAAGAGCAAAATATTGTTTTCCCCCTGTGATCCCAAAGTTTGAGCCTGGGCTGAGTGTGCAGTCTGAAGGCTGTGGGTTTGAATCCCACAGAAACCTGGTGCAGCATCAGAGGCCACGACCAGAGAAGTGACGCAAGGTCAGTGGGTGCAGTCTTTTGGGTGACATGCATACACTGAGGCCCAGGCTTTCCCATGGGGTGACATTCAAGAGCTAATGGCATTCAGTCATAAAGAAAGCCACCTAACATGTTTGTTTAAAAAACGCATGATGTGGAGGTGCTGGTGTTGGACTGGGGTGGACACTGTATTGCGTGGCTCTGACTTTAAGAAAAGCACAAGGATTATCAGATCACTCACTCTATTCAATCAATGATAGTGAGGTCTTGCTGTGTGAAAATTGCAGGTTTAGGTTTTCATGTGATGACAAGGGCAATTAAAAAGTACTTCCATGGCTGTGCAATGCTTTGGAATGTCCTTGGACTAAATGCTCCTGGTTAAGTAGACATTCTGAGTTCCTTTTCTTTTAAATCTCTCATCCTCCATCCAACACGAGCTGTTTGGCAACTTACCATGATGAGCAGGACACACTACATTTCCTTTGTTATCATTCTAGTGAAACTGAAATGTGTCCTACTTCAGAAGGAAAAAAATTTAGTTGCTTTGACATGACCCACTTGAGAAAGTGTGCTGATATTCATGCATTGCTGAGTAATCCAATTACTCCAATTTATTGGGCTGGTGGACTCCAGCGAACAGAAAACAGTTTTTTGTACTTAAACTACTGCATGACAAATTAGTCAATTCTATTCACAGACAAACATGAGGATTGACCAGGTGGTTGGCACTGAGGAAGAAGGTCTTGGGTTGCAGGAGGCTGGAGGAGGATTGGTCAGATGAAGTTCAGCCCTGGTAGGTGTGGGGTGATGTACTTTGGGAAAAAAAAGGAACAAGACAAGGGAGAGCTCAATGAATGGTGGGACACTAGCAAGCTCAAAAGGAACAGAGGGATCTTGGGGTGTTTGTCCACAGATACCTGAAAGTGGCAGGACACATTAATACAGTGGTTAAAAAGGCAGATGGGACACTTGCCTTTATCAATCATGGCCTAGATTATAAGAGCAGGGAGGTGATGTTGGAGCTGTACAGCGCTTTGGTTAGGCCATAGCTGGAGTACAGTGTGCAGTTCTGGTCACCTCACTATAGGAAGGATGTGATTACACTGGTGGGGGGGCGTGGTGCAGAGAAGATTTACCAGGGTGTTGCCTGGGATGGAGCAGTTTAGCTTTGAAGCGAGGTTAGATAAGCTAGGTTTTTTTTTTGGAACAGGGAAGGTTGAGGGGGACCTGATGGAGGTGCATAAGATTATGAGGGGCATGGACAGGGTGAATAGAAAACGGTTATTCCCCTTAGATGAAGGGTCAATAACAGGGGGCATAATTTTAAAGTAAAAGGCAGGAGGTTTAGAGAGGATTTGAGGAAAAATGGTTTTACCAGGGGTATTGAGGGGGAAACCTCTCAACTTTTTAAAAAAAAATGTACTTGGAAGAGCACTTCATGCCATAACATTCAACATTCAAGGCTTTTGTTGTCAGGTGGGGCTTGTATAGATTTAGTGTAGTTTGGTGATACAGATTTGATGGGCTGAAGGGCCTCTTCTGTATTGTATGATTCTATGGTACCTGTACAAGCTGAAACTCTAACTCCTCTCTTAAACCCTGCATGTGTACGTACATGCACAAACAAAAACCGTATTAACCGTGGAGAAATAAATTTAAACAAAAACTGAAAGAACTGCGGATGCTGTAAATCAGAAACAAAATCAGAAATTGCTGGAAAACCTCAGCAGGTCTGACAACCTCTGTGGAGAGAAGTCAGAGTCAATGTTTCAGGTCCAGCGACTTTTCTTCAGAACAGATGGTAACGAGGAAAGGCATAGTTTTTATACAGAAAATAGGGTGGGTGGAGATACAGCCCAAAGAGAGACAAGAACAGTTGGATAGACAAAAGAGTGGATAACAATCAGTCCAGGAAAATGAATGGCTGCTAATGGGGACTGTTTCTGGCTAACAATTGGTGGTATGTAATAGCAGACCAAGTGATAACGTAGGGCATGCATTTAAAGGTGAGGGGGGAGTTCAAAGGAGACGTAATGGGGAGTTTTTACGCAGAAGGTGGTAGGAGTCTGGAGCACACTGCCAGGGGTGGTCCAGGAAGGACCTAAAGAGAGAGCTAAGAAGAGCCAGGAGGGGACAT